TGAAGTTAATTTCTATTTTAATATTTAATTTTAAAAAATGATTTAACCAAAATTAAGGAATTTTATTTATTTATGGAGGATAAATTTAAATATTTAAAATTACAATACGTTAATTAAACCAAAGTATTTAATGGGCCGGCCATTGTATTATTGACATTTGGGCCGCACTGTTTCACTTGGGCTTTCAGTTCGGTGACGATCATTTTTGTAAAATTATTTATTTAAAAGTATGATATTGTTTACTTTGAACATAACCTCTCGTGGCTTTTCTTTAGACTTCTCCAAAAGGCCTCAAAGAAATAGAGAGAGTATTCTTTGATTATAAACTCACGATCATTCCCTAAATTAGTCGATGTGGGACTTTCATCATCCAAAAATAAAAGATATTCATCGATATATTAACTTATATAAATAATAATAATATTCCTTTTAAAATTTGATGAATATTTTTTTAAATATAATACTAATAATAAGGTTATTTTTTTAATTTTTTTTAAAGTTCGTTTGATAATATTATTGAAACCTTTTCAAGTTTTTAGCTATTTTTGAGACGCTATTAAAAATTTAAAAATATTTTTAAATAAATTATTTATTTTCTTATTAAAAAATTTTAAGATATTTGTTGAGATAAAATATAAATTTTATGATATTTTATTAATTGGCAAGGGATTCCCAAAATAGAGAAGTTTTGAACTCCCAACGGCTTCCTTTATATTAATTAGTTTGTTTTTGTCACTTTTATTAAAATGTGATAAATAAAAATGATAAATAATAATTTATATATATAAATGCATGTGATTGATGCGGCTGTCACCTTAAAAGCAAAGCATTAATTTTTACCAAAAAAAATATTAATTTAATTACCCTGCCAACTCGACTTACTATTTTAACAATTTTTTCTATATGGGAAAGAATTCTATTTTGTTCATTAATTAATTAATTTTGTTTATTTATTTATTTTATTTTATTAATATATTTTTATATATAATATTAATAAAGCTTATTTTATATCGTTATTAAGTATATAAAAAAAAACCTCGAATTATAATGAAAATAATTGAAATTTAGGTTCTCTCGAACAACCCTGTCAAAAATATTTTCATTTGAAAAAACTTATTGCATGGCCTACGCCCAAATTATGTATGCTCGAGCCTCTGACCTCGATTCAAGAAAAAAGTTTTAGAAAATGGGGCAGAGAGATTTCGAAAGAGAGTTTTGAAATCAAGATTTGAGAAATTGGAAATGGTATTATGTGGGGATGTAAGCAAAAAGGCAACAATGGCTTACTTCATATAACTATCGGGTAGGAAGAATTATCCGCTTACAGTACATTTTGGGGCATTTTAACCCAGGTGTAGACACGATTTAGGTGAATGGTCATACACCCTCATATTGATCCATTATGGAATGGTAAAGACCTATCTAGGATGAAAGCATGTAAAAGGGGTTTGGAATAGGCATGCAATCATGGACAACACAGACAAGCGTGGAAACCTTTCCCTAACAGATGTGTTTTAAAGCGTTAAGGGGAAGCCCAAAAGGGAAAGCTCAAAGAGTACAATATCGACTAGTGGTGGGTTTGGGGCGTTACAAATGGTACCTCGAGCGATGTGCTAGTGAGGAGGTTGTTCCCCGAAGGGGGGATGGATTTGGTGAGGGTCTCACATCAATGGGAGAAAGGAACAAGTGCCAGTAAGGACGTTGGGTCCTGAAGGGGGGTGGATTATGATATCCCACGTTGGTTGGGGAGAAGAACGAAACACCTGATTTTTAAAGCCTTGAGGGGAAGCTCGAAAGGGAAAACCCAAAGACAATAATATCTACTAGCGATGGGTTTGCCCTGAAGGGGATGAATTGTGATATCCCACATCGGTTGAGGAGGAGAACGAAATACCCGAAATACCTGATTTTTAAAGATTTGAAGGGAAGTCCGAAAGGAAAAACCTAAAGAGGATAACATCTGACGGTAGGTCTGCCGGGGGTGGATTGCGATAAATAAGTAATAATTTAGGTCATTCTTTATATCACTTTGGAAGCCTAGCTTTTTCCATTTGCATGTGCAACAGTTATGGTGTATTTAACCTCCCGATTGCAAGCAAAGCATAAAGCCCTAAAGTTTTTTGCTTTTTGTAATTTTTATGAATAATCATTATATACCTAAAATAATAATAATAATAATAATAATAATAATAATCCATTGCCTTGAAATCACAAACAGGCCAGCCCTTTACTTAGTTTGCCAAATATTTTAAACTTTATAATATAAAGTTTCATAAGTTTATAATATATTATATTATAAAGTTGTATTTGGACTTAACTTTACAAAGACATAATTCACGCTTGTCACCCTAAACAAAAGCATCCTCATTATTACGCTAATCGATACGATATTTAAACACGAGCTTGATCACAGGAGCTTTAGTTTGACAATTTCTCGTTAGCTTTACAAACCTAACCGTCTTCATCACACGCCTTGTAAATTTAGGACCTAGCACTGAAACTTGTTGTTTGCTCGTATATTTGACATGCTTCATACAATGTCAAATAAGTTATTAGGTGTGTAACAGCTCAAGTTTAACCGTTACGTATTGTTGATAGTTTCACGGTTTTAAAACGCGTCTACTAGGGTTAAGTTTTCACACCCTTATAAGGAGTGCTTCATTTCACTCTCCAACCGATGTGAGATCTCAAAAAGCGTGTAACACTCGAGTAAAAGATGAGTATATGAATGAACCGAGACTTGTTCGAATAAAAGCAAAATTAAGAATATAATGACTAAAAAATACTTAAAAGAACTGAAAACTACTACTTGTACCAATAAAACGCAACTTCTTTTTCGGTAGCTCAATCATAATATTGAAAGTACATGTGTTGGTCTTCGAAGCAACGAGTAAGAAACATGACTATGTCGTAGGAGAATGTCAGGGTCATCGGGTGCCGAATCCAAAATTTGAATCTTAACCGAATTAAAAACATGTTTTAAACCATACTCTTATAGGGTTAATAGGAAACATGGAAATGAGAGTGTCGTACTAGGAGTATCATTGTTATGGTTAGAGCAAACAAATGAAATCATATTACTGCGTGTTTTGTTTGTCTGGAATAGGGACAACTACCGCCATCATCCAAACACGCCGTATTTGTGTAGGGGACGAGGGCAAAGGGAATGATACCCAAATCGACACGCTCGCAACTCACGTGCTTTTGTTCTTTTTTTCTTTTTAATAATTATCTTTTAAAAATTATAGTTCAATTAAAATCTCATAAAATTCAAATATAAAATACTAACAAACGTCAAATATTTTTAATTTTTATAATAATTTTAAAAATATGGTAGATAAGGCGGTTGAGTTGTAATTTTATTTTTCAAGATAAATCGACTAAAAAAATATTGACTCGTATGGATTCGAATTTTTAATTTTTTTATTAATTTAATCCAATTCAAACCGAAGAAAAACTAATCCAACCCAACATTTATGATTTGGATTGGGTTGTCTGAGTTGGTCGAATTTTGTGTTCATATGAACACTCGTAAAAATTATAATGTCTTGCTTGATGTTAAACTCGATAAACCTAAGTTGAAATATACGAATATGTCCAAAATATAATTTAGTGAATAAAACATTAATTTACTATTTCGTTGGTTGGATTCTTCCGGGACGAAATAAGATAAATATATATTTGGGTGATTATTTAGTGAATTGTAAAAAATTCAAAGAAAAAAAAAAAGAAAAAAGAAAAGATATTTAGTTCTTTTTATTATCTATTTTAAAAAATTGGAGTGATTATAATTATATTTCTCATTCCTTCCATTTAACGTTTTACGATACATTTCAATTTTTTTTTAAAATCTACTTTTAATAGTTTAAAAAATATTTATGAAATTTTAAAAATTTTAAAAATAACGAGTGTCATTTAAAAAAAAAAAATCTTATTGTCAGATAAAAAGTTTTTATTGGCCGCTCATAAATTATCTCTAATTTTTTTTAAATTTAAATGTATATTTTTAAATACTTTATTAAAAATTTAAAATTAATGTTTGGACTTTTTTTTTAAATGGACGTATTATTGAAAATTTAAAAATTTAGAAGTATTTTTGAAAAAGAAATACAAAATTGAAAGGCATTTTATTAATTTACCCTTTTTTTTTTAATATAAATTGAATATAGAATATTTTGGATTTGGGTCAAAAGCACAACTAGCGACAAAAACGGTGCGCACATTGGTTCGGCTCCATGCCATTTGGTTTTGCGTGGGCACGAAGCTGGGATGGAGCCGTTTTGCTTGAGCACGAAGCTGGGATGGAGCCATTTTATTTCTCCTAAGTCGACTCGGTCACCAAGCCTAAGCCGCTTCGGAAGCCCCTCCCTTGACTCGAGCCCATTACTTGTCTCTTTCTTCATTATTAACCTTACTTTGTTTGCATTTTTTCCAAATTAAATTACCCTAATTACATATGTAAATATTTAATATATAATGCTAACACTTATTAATATATTAAAAAAAAGTGAAAAAATATATATAATTTTAAAAAATTGTATTAATTTTTATCTTGAACTTTTATTTTCATGAAATTGTACTCAATATTACAATTTTAAATAAGAAATTAATTTTAATTAGTTCTCCTAAATAAATAAATAAAATAAAATAAAAAATTAGAAACAAAGTTATGCACAAATTTAATTTAATTTTACTTCTATTGAAATTTAATTAGTTCAAAGGGTCGATGCTAAGAATATTCTCAATAATAAAATAAATAAAAATACAAATTTTCCAAAAATAATTGAGAATTAAAAAAAAAAAAGCCAGAATTTAAATTATTTATATATAAATTCCTATTTCCTGAATTTAAATGTTTTTCGGAACAATTTTTTTAATTTTTAATTTTTTTATAATTACAATATATTTGTCGATCGTAGCGCACGTGGGTAAGTAACTAGCCACGTGACTGAATCATATCAAATTCCCGAACACAAAAACGCCTTTCCTCTTTCCCTTTTTTCAGTAGCGGCGGCGGCGGCGGCCCTCGGCTGTACTGCGCATTGAACACCTAGCCACATAGGCCGAGTCTGCGCCGCGACGCGCCGCGCTGAGCTCTGCGTCTGTACGTGTACGCTGCTGCAGCCCAAATCTCAATGGTCCAGAGAGAGAGAGAGAGAGAAGAACGAAGAACAAGCAGAAGAAGAAGAAGAAGAAGAAGAGGAAGAAGAAGAAAGCATTTGAGTGGTTTTCACTCCTCGTAGCTGGCTTTCACGCTGATCATCGCAAGCGAAAAAGCAAAAAAGCAGAAGAAAGGTTAAAGGTGCGAATGAATGCGATTGAAGGAAGGAAGAATCTGATGAGTTTGTGTGTGCATTTAAAGCTTTTGTAGCTACGAAACCCTCTTTCTCTAATCCCAACGATTCTATTCGATTCCATTATTTCCAATCCAATCCACTTTTTCTTCTTCTTCTTCTCCGTGATCCGTTTCTTTCTCTTTCTACGGGACTTGATTGAAAGTTATGGAAAGCGACTGCTCGACGTGATCGTTTTCCATGCCAATCTTTTGCCTCTTTCGTGTCCTCTATAATCCGTAAGCTGCTGCTGAATAGTTCTCTTCATTCCATTCACTTGCTTTTCTTTTCTGTCTGTTTGTTTGTTCGTTCGTTTGTTTGTTTGTTCCACTGCTTTATTTCGTGTTTGCTTTATTATTCAGTATTCCTCAGGCCTTTCGATTGGAGTATTTTTTTTTTCCTTCTCTTTTTGATCTTGTTCTAGCTGTTATGAGACAAGATCTCGTGATTCCGCAGTGACTGAGCTTCTTGTACTTGTTTGACCCTAGTCATTTGCTGTGAAAGTCCGGTGGATTGGTGTTTTCTGTACCGGAGATGTTGACGTGTATAGCCTGCTCGAAGCAGCTCAACAATGGATCTCTGCACCAGCAAGAGGGAGAAGATTCCGTTGCTACACCGAGGACGAAACAAACAATCAAGGCTCTAACTGCTCAGGTAAACAGTCTACGTTATGAGATTTCTATCTCTGTTCTCAGAAATTTCAAGGAAATGGTTTTTGTTGCTGGTAACTTTGTGCAATTTGGAGGAGAATTTTCTCTGCTGGAATCGTTGTTGATTGAACATTTCGCAGATATTTATTCACTTTCGTTTCGATTTCTTTTACTTTCTCGGTAATCATAAAGAGAGCTAGCTAGGTAATTGTTCGATTTTCAACATCGGGAAAGAAGCTCGACAATGAATTGATGTGAAGTTGACGTTTCCTGTGTTGTTTTTTACTTCCTTGAAATCTCGTTTTACTGTGAAATTGATGTTTATGACTGAATTTTTTCTGCTACTTTCAGATCAAGGACATCGCACTGAAGGCATCGGGCGCTTACAAGAATTGCAAGCCATGTTCAGGCTCATCGAGCACTAACGGCAAGTATAAATATGCAGAATCTGATTCTGCATCAGATTCGGCGAGGTTTCATTGTTCCTACAGGCGGACTGGGAGTGCAAACTCCATACCAAGGCAATGGGGAAAGGAAATGGAGTCCCGATTGAAAGCTCTGTCAAGTGGGGAAGTGAGTCCAGCTTCTGTAAGTGGACGAACTGAGATTGTTTTCTTGGAAGAAGACGAACCAAAGGAATGGGTAGCACAAGTTGAGCCTGGTGTGCTTATCACTTTCGTTTCATTTCCACAGGGAGGAAACGATCTCAAACGGATTCGTTTCAGGTAAATCATTTGGAATTCAACTGTTACTGAAGAAACCTATTTGTCTGGAAGTGCTTCTTCTTCACTTGTTTGTCAGCTTGTTACATTTCTACTGTCTGAAACTTAGGAGGTGGAATCTTGTGATTTAGCTGCCATTTGAACTCTCTACTTCATTCCCTTCTCTTCTTTGCAAGTGTATAATGATCATATATTTCCTATAATTGTTTATGATTGGTTGCTAACCCTTGTTTTCTTTTGTTGATCAGCAGGGAACTGTTCAACAAATGGCAAGCTCAAAGATGGTGGGCGGAAAACTATGAGAAGGTTATGGAATTGTATAATGTCCAGCGTTTCAATAGCCAAGCTGTTCCTCGTCCACCTTCCCCTCCATTATCGGAAGACGATGTGAGTTTCGAGCATCATACTAGTTGTGATATACTGTCATTTCGTTGGTTATAGACTTCGTTACATTATTAACATGAGTTCTATTCAATTCCAGGCCTCGAAGACTCAATCTGCCAAGGACAGCCCTGCTACTCCACCTTTGACAAATGAATGGCCTCCTCGAACTTCGGATCGACCATTGGGAAACTCATCATCGGAATCACTTGATCACCACCCTAACCGACCCCCACATTGCTATGATTCAGGTGGTTTAGCTCCATCAGTTAAACCCTCTAGCGAAAATGACGCAAAGATTGAGACATCATCTGTAGATGGTTCTGTGAGGACCAGTGAGGGAGATCAGTCAGAAGAAGAGCTTTCTGTAAGTAATGCTAGTGATTTGGAGACTGAATGGATTGAAGAGGATGAACCAGGAGTCTATATCACTATTCGGGCTCTGCCAGGTGGCTCGAGGGAGCTAAGACGCATTCGATTCAGGTATTAATCTTTCATATTGAGAATAATATACATCTTTGATAAGTCTCACAATTTCTGACTGTTAACTCTCCATGTGGGACTCAAAAACCATTATAGAAATTAGGCACTCTGTATTATATCCTATAACGGCCCAGGCTCACCGCTAGCAGATATTGTCTTCTTTGGGTTAGAAGATATTGTCTTCTTTGGGTTTTCCCTTTCGGGTTTCCCCTCAAGGTTTTTAAAACGCATCTACTAGATAGAGGTTTTCACACCCTTATAAAGTGTGTTTCGTTCTCCTCCCCAACTGGTGTGGGATCTCACAATCCACCCCCTTTTAGGGCCCAGCGTCCTTGCTGGCACTCGTTTCTTTCTCCAATCGATGTGGGACCTCCACTAAATCCACCCCCTTCGGGGCTCAGCGTCCTTATTGGTACACTGCCTCGTGTCTACCCCCTTTCAGGGAACAGCCTCCTTGTCGGCACATGCCCGGTGTTTGGCTCTGATACCATTTATAACTGCGCAAGCCCACCGCTAGCAGATATTGTCCTCTTTGGGTTTTCCCTTTCGGGCTTCCCCTCATGGTTTTTAAAACGCACGTGCTAGGGAGAGGTTTTCACACCTTTATAAAGGGTGTTTCGTTCTCCTCACCAACCGATGTAGGATCTCACATATCCTGAGAGAATTACTGTATAAGTCTATGATCAATGTTGTGCGCCGAAAGCGGAACAAATGTACTCACAACACCAAAGTTACTCAAGACATACAATATGACACTCAAAACTTAATGATTTCAACAGCAGAAAGAATGGCATTATATAGCCTTCTGCTAAACCTAAAGATAAACTAACAAGCCAAAAAAAGACCTTGAGAATAGGTCTTGGTCCTAGAGAATAGGACTTATGACAGTGTTCAACAATCTCCACCTTGTCATAAGATCTCCAAGTTGATAGCTAATTTGGTTGCTACCATGTCAACACACTACTCCCTTCCGACGTTGATGAAATCTAAACAATGCCAGAACTTTTCACGAGTGATCACCTTTGTCAACATATCAGCAGGGTTATCAGCAGTTCCAATTTTTAATAACCGAATATCCCCTTTGCTAATAATTTCTCGAATAAAGTGAAAACGGACATCAATGTGTTTTGTACGAGCATGATGGACTTGATTTTTTGACAAGCAAATAGCGCTCTGGCTATCACAAAATACATCTATATGTTCCTGCAAAATACCCAAGTCATTGATCAAACCATGCATCCAAATAGCTTCTTTAAAAGCTTCTGTTACTGCCATATACTCTGCTTCAGTGGTAGACAATGCAACAGTAGACTGCAATGTTGAACGCCAACAAACAGGTCCCCCAGCCATAGTAAATAAATAACCCGTAGTAGATCGTCGCTTATCCAAATCACCAGCATAATCAGAATCCACATAACCAACTACACGATTGTCAAGATTAAACATTTCTTGTTTTTGAAACTTAATACCAACATCAATAGTGCCAAGAATGTACCTAAGAATCCATTTTACAGCCTGCCAATGCTCTTTACCAGGATTATGCATATAACGACTCACCATGCTTACAGCGTGTGAAAGATCAGGTCGAGTACACACCATAGCATACATCAACGCACCAACAGCATTTGTATAAGGGATGTTCTCCATATACCTTTTGTCATCATCAGAACTTGGACACATGGAAGCACTAAGCTTGAAATGAGGAGCAAGTGGAGTACTAACGGGTTTGGTTGAATTATTCAAACTAAATCTTGACAATACCTTGCGTAGATATTGAGACTGAGTCAACCAGACTGTACCTTTTTTCCGATCTCGCTCTATCTCCATTCCAAGTATTTTCTTTGCATTGCCTAAGTCTTTCATTTCAAATGTTTTAGAAAGCTCATCTTTGAGCTTATCAATCTCCATCTGTCTCTTTGAAGCAATTAACATATCATCAACATATAAGAGCAAATAGATAAACGATCCATCATCGAGACACCGATAATACACACAATGGTCAAATTGACTATGAGTATACATATGCTCTACCATGAAATGATCAAACCTTTTATACCATTGGCGAGGGGATTGCTTCAGCCCATACAAAGATTTCTTCAATCTGCATACTAAATGTTGCTGTCCAACTACTTGGAAACCAACTGGTTGCGCCATATATATTTCTTCTTCCAAATCTCCATGCAAAAAAGCAGTTTTTACATCAAGTTGTGCAAGCTCAAGATTAAATTGAGCAACCAAAGCCAACAAAATTCGAATGGAAGAATGCTTTACCACAGGTGAGAAAATTTCATTGTAATCAATACCTTCCTTTTGTGCGTAACCTTTAGCCACAAGTCGAGCCTTATAACGTATACCAGAAGAGTCTTCCTTTTTTGCAAAAACCCATTTACAACCAATTTCCTTCTTACCTTTTGGAAGTTGTACCAAATCCCAAGTTTGATTTATCTCCAATGATGCTATCTCCTGATTCACAGCCTCTTGCCAGTGTAAGCTATCCGGGCTCTGAATAGCATCTTTGTAGCTGTTAGGAACTCCATCAATCAAAGAGAAAGCATATGCTATCGTATCATCAAACCTTGCAGGTTTTCGAATTACCCTTCGTGGTCTATTCTTGGCGATTGACTCAGGTTCCTCCACTCTTTCATTCACAAGGCTTTGCTCCTCAAGACTTTGCTCTTTTTGTTCTAAGACATCAAAGTTATTATTTACCTGATCAATAGGTTCTTCGGTAGGAGTATCCACATCAGGAGAGAACACCACCTTCTCCACCTGCTTCAATGCCTCGTCATTATTTTCAATTTTCTGCAAAAACATTCCAGACTCATCGAATGTCACATCTCGACTATTAACAATTTTACTTGTTTCTGGACACCATAACCTATAGCCCTTCACACCTTTGCTAAAGCCCATAAACTTGGCTTTTTTTGCTCTAGGATCCAATTTTGAGTTTGTCACATGATAATAAGCAGGACACCCAAACACATGCAATTTATCATAATCACTAACAGGACTACCTGACCATACCTCAAGCGGAGTTCTCCCACCGTTTCCAGAAACAGGTAAACGATTCACCAAGTGAACTGCATAACTGAGAGCCTCAGCCCAAAATGCCTTACTCAATCCTGCTTGAGACAATATGCATCGAACCTTCTCTATTAATGTCTGGTTCATTCTCTCAGCAACTCCATTTTGTTGTGGCTTACCAGGAACAGTGAAGTGTCGAACGATCCCTTCATCTCGGCATATTTTAAGGAATGGATCATAAGTATATTCTCCCCCGTTGTCTGATCTCAGCTTTTTGATTTTCCTATCCGTCTGATTCTCTACCATTTTCTTCCACTCTAGGAAGATTTGGAGAACCTCGTTTTTGTGCCTCATGGGATACATCCAAACTCTCTTCGAGTAGTCATCAATAAAGGTGACAAACCACCTCTTTCCTCCCAATGAGACATTCTTTGTGGGACCCCATACATCGGTGTGAACATAATCCAAAATACCCTTTGTTTGGTGTATAGCTGTACCAAACTTCACATTTTTTTGTTTACCAAATATACAATGTTCACAGAAATCAATTTTTCCAGTTGTGGCACCCTTAAGGACTCCTTGGTTCACCAATGTCTGAAGCGCCTTCTCACCAGCATGCCCGAGTCGCATGTGCCATAATTTCGATATGTCTTGTTCTTTCGAACTTGCCATAGCAGCATGCCCAATTATTGTGGTTCCGTTGAGGTAGTATATGCTACCTCTTCTAGTTCCTGTAATTGCCACCAAAGCTCCACGAGCTACTTTCAAATTCCCTCCTTCCAAAATGATGCGATAACCACTCGCATCCAAAACGCCAAGTGAAATCAAGTTTTTCTTCAAGTCAGGAACATACCTCACATCTTTGAGTTTTCGTATAACCCCATCAAACATCTTGATTTGTACTGAGCCGATTCCCATTATCTTGCAAGTACTATCATTGCCCATATAGACAACTCCACCATTGAACTTTTTGAAGTCCAAAAACATCTCTTTGTTGGGACACATATGATAGGAGCACCCAGAATCAAGAATCCATTCAATGGTTTGGCTGGCTGATAGGGAGATTGTCAAGGCATCATCTGTATCAGTGTCGTCATCTTTAACCACATTGGACTTCGACCCCTTCTCTTTTAAGATCGAACAATCTTTCTTCCAATGGCCTTTCTGTCGACAATATGCACACTCATTTTTATCAAGTTTTCTCCAATTATCAGATCTACCTCTCGACTTTAATCGAGACTCTCCACATTCGTTCCTTTTCCAGGTAGAAGTTCTTCCATGAGCAGTGAGAACATTTGAGCTAGAGCTTTGATACGTCTCCTTTTCCTTCTTTCGCATCTCATTGTTTATTAAGGCATTTGAAACATCTTCAAAATCAATATTAGTGATTCCATGTAGTAGGGTTGTTACTAAAAACTCGTAGGATTCCGGCAAAGAGTTTAATAACAACAACGCCTTGTCCTCGTCATCAATCTTAACATCAAGATTGAGCAAATCAGTGATGATTTTGTTAAAATCATCCAAATGCTCAGCCATTGAGATACCTTCCTTGTAGTCAAAACGGAAGAGTTTCTTCTTCAAATAGAGTTTATTTTCCACACTCTTCCTCATATATTTCGCTTCAAGCTTGTCCCATAATTCTTTCGCCATGGTAACCTTCATAAATGGATATTTCTGATCCTTGCCAAGACAGGATCGAATAATTCCACAGGCTTGCCGATTTAATTTTGTCCATTCTGCTTCTGTCATATCTTCAGGCATCTCCTCTTGGAGAGAAACATCGAGGTCTTGCATGACCAGCAAATCGCTAACTTCGCCTCGCCAAACACCAAAATTATTGGTTCCATCAAATTTTTCTACTTCGAGATTGGAACTCCACACTCTCGATCCACGTCGTGATGGTTCGGCCATTTGCAATAATTAATCTGGATGTAACTCAAAAACACAATTCTTGAAAACTGATTTCCAAGAGAATAAACACGATTGTGAGCACGTCTAATGGTCGATGAGGCCCAAACTTTCACAATACCCCCAAATACCACAACCTGGCTCTGATACCACTTGTTGTGCGCCGAAAGCGGAACAAATGTACTCACAACACCAAAGTTACTCAAGACATACAATATGACACTCAAAACTTAATGATTTCAACAGCAGAAAGAATGGCATTATATAGCCTTCTGCTAAACCTAAAGATAAACTAACAAGCCAAAAAAAGACCTTGAGAATAGGTCTTGGTCCTAGAGAATAGGACTTATGACAGTGTTCAACAATCAATTGGCTGATAAGTTAGCTTGAAAAATTGAGGTCCTATCGAGCTTGTAGTTTCACGTTTAAACTAGAAATATCAACGTGAACCTAACCTTATAGGTACAAGGTTTGAATCTCCACTCTTAGATATTGTCAAACTCAAAAGTGTTTTTGAGTAAAAAAAAAAAGTGCTCATTTTAGTTTATAAACTGGAAACTATAGCGTGGTGTATATTCGAATGACATTAAATCTTTTATCCCGTTTTTGATTTACTGCAAAAAAACACTGATCTTCAAGTATGGTTCGTTTTGACGCAGTCGAGAAAAGTTCGGAGAAATGCACGCGAGATTATGGTGGGAAGAGAACCGAACGAGGATACAAGAACAGTATTTGTGACGATGGTACGTGAATGGAATTGCATCTCGTTTTTTAGTTGCAGATTGCGGGTCGTTTTTTACATACCTCTCTGCCCTTTCCTTCTCTTACAAATCTAGACTTCTCTATGTGGGTTATGCCTCGGAATCAAAGGATGTTGAAAGATAATAACATTGGTTAGGTTGGTGGTTTTAGCCTTCAGGGGAACAGTAGAGATAACAGAATCTATACTGCTCCAATGTTCCATGTTCATTCCAGAAAGAAACTAATGGTTGTAGTACTTTACTGTTCTGTACATTTGAGTGGGATTTGTCTAAAGACTTCTCTTTCTATGGGCTTTCACTGGCCCATTAAGCTCTCTCTGATTTCAGGCCCATTTTCAGGCCCAAAATTGTGGGTCCTGGTTGAGTTTCTGTTGGGCTTGGATTGGATTAGAGGCCCAAATCTCTCTATGTTCCTTTTATTCCAACACTTTTTCGTTATTACTTATTAATTATTAGTACATTATCTATATAATTATTATAAGGTTTTCAATGATAAAACAATATTTTTTTCTGGATTTTTTTTTTTGTAATAAAATATTTTCATTAATCAATCCATTCATAAAAATGATAAAATTACAAGTCGAAGGAGCCCAATTCTATTATCTTGGATAGTAAATTATTGAGTTCGAGTTCTTCTTATAAACTATTAATCTACATATTTATTTTAGTTCGAAACGAAATTAGATGATTTTTAGAATAGAAGTTGATGTTAGGAATCACGACTCTCACAATGGTATGATATTTTTCACTTTGAGCACAGGCTATTGTGGTTTTGCTTTGGGCTTTCCAAAAAGACCTTATGCCTATAGAGTCAATATTCCTCACTTATAAACTCATGATCTTCTATTAAATTAACCAAAGATTCACCGTTTTTGTTTACTCCATGTAATAATAAAAGAAATTTATTGCACTTATTAAAAAAATTAAAGTAATAAAAACATTATTCAACTTTTATCATTTGTTTTTTTATTTATTTATAAAAATATTAATTTTTAAAATTACAATATTTATAGGGCAAGTAATATTGTAATTTTGGAAGAATAATAATATTTTTGAAATAAATGCTAAAGTTATTATTTTTATTATTTTTAAATTGTGGTTTAGGCTAAAAGAAATAATCTGATAATCTAAGCTTTGGTCGTCATTAGTTCTGATTGTTCGTCGTGACTCGTGAGCCGCTGGGATCTCGAAGATGTTACATGTTAACGGGCGTAGCAAGCTTCTGTTCTCTGAGCAATGGTGGATCTCTGCATCAACACGAGGGAGGCGGGAGCTAAAGCAAGTCGTTGAGGCACTTATCGCTCAGGTAAATGATGATCGCGCTGGTTTATACCTAGTTGATTTCAAAGAAATTACGTCCTCGTTGTTCTTCTGGAATTTACTTATTGAAACCTTATAGGAACGCATGAAGAAGAATCAGAGGAAATGCGGAGTAGTGACGTTTTCGTTTATTGATTTTAGTTTCCTTCACTTTTCTGTCGCGAGACAGTTTGATTGGTGTTCTAATTCCAATTTTGAGTGAATCGGATGATGAAAATGAACTCTGGATAGTTTCTTAGTGTTTCCGATTATCAATGTAGGCTTATTTTTCTTTGAAATTGATTTTTGCATCAGAGAAGTTTCATCTATTTTCCGGCTATGAAGAACGTGAGCCTATGGAGCCTGTGTACTTGTGATTTGTTTCCCTAGGAGGTAAATGATTTCAGACGAATTAACTTCAGGTATTGTTGGCATTGAGCTGTTGGTGAATACTCCGATTTTTCTGAATGTGGATCTCATATGCTTGTGTTCTTGTTCTGGTAGTGAATCTACAGAAATTAGCAACTAGAATAAGAAATTTTGGGATTGTGAATTGACATTTTGTTTGCTTCCAAGTGCGTCCCTCAATGGGACCTATCTCTCGGAGTGGAATTCCTTTAAAAAGCTTCCACTTATAGTTCTATTGGCAAGTTAGTCCTGTAAATACATTTGGTGATTTCTGTCACTAGCTGCCTCTTGAGAAAACTAGAATACTTGTGCGGTAGAGCTATGAATAACAGTAATCTAGCTGAGACATTGCCTCATGTTATTCTTATTTCAATTTTGGGCTTCTAAATTCAATCATTCCCTTTTGAATCTGAATGATGTATGTACAAGCTTGTTTTTCCATTCTATCAGCTGTAAGTCGTTCACCTACCAAACCTTCCAAGATCTGAAGCTAAAGATGAGTTTAAATCTATTACCTGTGATTTGAAGGTATATATTTGAATGAGATGGTTGTGATTTTACACTCTTATCATGTACTCTCTAGTGCTTCCATTCTATCAGATTTTAAAAAATTGTTCCCTTCTGTTATGCTTCAAGCAGGAGTTTAATGCTATTTTAGATCTTCAACTCCCCCTGGTCTTCCTCAAGATAGTAATATCCATTGAACATGGGTGACCCTAGCAGACGCGTTTAAAAACTTTGAGGAGAAGCCCGGAAGAAAAAGTCCAAAGAGGACAATATCGACTAGCGATGGGCTTAGACGGTTACACTACATCCATACCAGGGCACAAAAGGGAGGTTAGATGTGTTCGCTTCAGGTATTGAAGATTTTAATTATGAAATTGCCTGTTTTATGCTCCACATATAGGACTCCATTAGATTTACTTTATTATATCATCAGCAGCCTCTTACTAGTTTGTGAAGAACTGCACAAATTTAGAACCTAAACTTTTTGAAATCCTTATTTCTAATTAGTTAGGCTAACTCCCATGAACCCAAGGGAAAGTTTTGGAACGAATTAATTTGATGATCAAGAACGTAGAGTAAAGAAAACTCGTTTCTAAACTTGTGATTCGAATCACTCCAGAAAAAGTTTGATCAATACTACTGGAATGACTCTGGCTGCTAGTAAGTTCTAAACACAAGAATTTGCAAAGTAAAAACTTAGCTCTCAACAAACTAAAATAGAAATTCTATTATTCTCCCTTCCAAAATATGATCTTAAATCAATAGAATGAAGGACTATTTATAGCCTTGAAAATAAACCTCATAATAACATGGTTAATTGAAAGGTTGTAACTTTCCTAGCCATCAATACCATAACGACCACTAACTAATTGTAATTTATAATTAAAAGCAATTCTCTAAAACTTAAAAAATACAATAAAACATTCTTAAATCTAAATAATCCATAGATTAAAACACCTTATTTTGTATCAAAGTGTTTGGGTGAAGGTTTGAGTTCGAGGTTTGGCAAAAGATGCAAATATTCCAATGTTTGCTCTGTTGGTTTGTCAACCCGGATAAACCCATGGGTTTTGACATAACTCCCATGCACAAACTTCTTAGCTTAAACTTCTAAACTGGATATTCACACACTTAAATATACAACTGGTGCATATAGCGTGCGACCTGCGTAGCTTAAGTGAATAAAATATCTATTACTTTCTTTAAAGTTGAAGGTTCAAGAACCACGAATCTCTTGAGACTGGGCTTTTGGTCTGCTTTTCCATTTGACCCTTCTAAATTTCTTATTCCCCAAAAATTTGGAGAAATTCATGATTAGCAAATTAGGAGCTCATCACTTAGTACTCTTGGAATTCTATTGGTCACTGTTTTTCATATTACATATCCTATTTCATTTCTTTTGTTCTTAGACCTGCAGTGAATTCTATTTCTTGGAATTCTATTTCTTTTGTTCCATGTTGATGTGTGGATGACGAATATATTAACTCTTAGGAATCAAATAGTACGGATCAAAGGACGGTGAAAACTAACTTTTGCTGTAGATTTATTGGAATCAAAGGATGGCGAAAGCTAATATTAGCTATGCAAACATTTTTTCTGGAACTGAGCTTTCATGGAGAAGAATGAAAACAACATTAGCTATAGTTCAGTAGGAATCAAAGGATAGTAAAAGTTAACCTTAGCTCCAGACTGATAGGGATAGGAGGTGGTGAGAGCTAACTTTATCTCCATCGATACATCTTCGCAACTCGGCTGAAAACTACTTCGTTACTTTTTCATAAATCAATGATTTGTTATTACTGTTTTGAAGATTATAGCTCAAATATGAAGTCGGAGATTTGAACCGATATCTCGAACGAGATAACAAATATATTAGCAGAGTTTTGTTTAAGTTAACTAGTAACTATTAATGCTGGTAGTCATCTTTATTCCTTTATTAATGACATCATAATTGATTTATTATATATACGGTGACAATGAATATAGCATCTAAACAGATTTGAACTCTCTAAAACGATTTTTATAGATTTTAGCTCTTTGGTTTAAAATGATACAACAAAGCGAAGTTGTATTCAAAATAAAAAATTTAAACGATCAAGAATAATATTCTTTTAATATTTTAGCTTGTTGATGATGTTAATGGTGGTTGTGATAGTACGTAGAAAGGGGACGGAAAAAAGAAATTAAAGGAAAAGACAAGAGGGAAAAGTAATTCCATTGGGGGCATGATGAACTTTATAAAAGTTGAAAGATTAATAAAGTTAAATTTTGAGCATATTTGACATGATATTCTAACCCCTTTGAGATTTGTCTAATCTAATTTTGCATAGTGGTGAACACTTGGAGTTTGCACTTGCATCCCACCATCATCAATTTCTCATTATGATTGTAATTCATTTTTGGGTCCCTAACTTAACGCTAATGTCTTGTCGTTATCAGTAAAAACACACTTTTATTTCATTAGGGTTTGAAGTCCCTACGTTTTCTCAAAACGACACATTTGGTCTTTCAAAGTTATGTCTTGAAGCTTCAAAATTGACAAGTTTGGTGTCTGAAGTTATGCTCGAGTTTCAAATTCCAAAGACCAAATAGATATCAAATTCAAACATTAGAGGCTAAACATGTCACAATCGGGGCAGAATAACTAAATAGAAACTAAATTCAAACGTCACAAAAAAGGGTAAGTTTTACAAACCCTTCGTACCCAATAAATGTTTTCTACGATTCTTTTCTTTTCTTTTCTCGAGGTCGAACCTTTTCGGGTTGTAATGTAAATCGAAAAGAAAAGGTAATGAATTAGAGATAGCCAACTAATTTGGACTTTGGGAAGGAAGGAGGAATATGTAAACAAAAGAAAAGCAACTTTTTGGTGGTGTGTAGCCCATACCCATAGCTTCTTTCTTCACCTTTATCATCCAATTTGATAGTCAAAAATTAAAATTAAAAAAAAAAAAGGAATTTTTTGATGGGTGAGAAACAAAAACAAAAAGATGCTTTATATATTTATTTATTTAATCCCCTTTTGCCTTTGCACGCACAAATTCACTTTTTTTAAAATAATAATAATAATAATAAAT